GGGATTTGATATGGTTTTATGCATAGATGAACTGTTCAAATTTCCTATGTCTATTCCTAACTAAAATCCTGTCTCAATTTCCCATATGGTTTGACATGGAAAACCACATGGTAAACCACGTGGTTTCCTTCATGGAAGTAGGGTTTTACATGGTTTTTGACATAGGATCCCATGTGGTTTCCCATGTGGTTTCCCATATGGGGATTTTCAATAGGGGTTACTCTGGTATCTCAGCTTTCTTTTAAAAAAACGAATGTCCCTATATTACTCTTACATTTGTTTCTACAATGAACGTACACTTCGTAGGTATCGTAGGTTGCTCTTTATGCATAGCGTGTTGCATTAGCCAACACGCCCTAGGGGTACTTGGAAAATATTTTGTAATTTTTATCAATACAGTAAGTGTGAATCAAAAATCTCAAATTGACCCTCAAAATATGTTTCAAGCTTAAAACGCGATTTTAGTTTCTTTTTTAAAGTTATTTTAAAAGAATTAGAACGAAAAAATGGAAATTTTGAAAAGTTTCTTTCATATGTAAAATACAGTTTTTCTACTATATTTCTTACAATAGTCATTGAATAATAAATAATCAAACTTTGTAGAAACTGGCAGTACATCAAGTTGTGTTTGGAGCGAAATCATTTCGATTTACGATTTTTAAATAAATTACATTTATTCATAACGCCCCTTAGCCATTATGTCCCGTTCCCCCGATATACGTGATTTGTAAATAGAAATGTATGATTAAAAACATGTAAATCCGGATACAGTAGATGTGATAGTTTAATTCTTATAAGAAAAACGTTAAATTTACTGAAGATTTAAAAATGAACAATTAGATAAATTTTCTGCATGATTTTTTTAAGAGAACGTCCAAGCGCCTAAACTTTCGGAAGGGCCTTTGGCAGGACGCGCCCCCAGGCGGAAATTTCCAACCGGCGCGGATCCTAGCCCGTACTGACGCCGGTGTAGCTGTACTGGCTCGGAACCGCCTGCCAACCGAATGTGAACGGGCATTCTACCGAATAGTGACTAGGCCAGGAGCGCGCTGGCAACCGGCTCGGAACTGGCATTCTACCGCCCGCTGACCGGCCGGGAGAAGCCGTTCCGTGTATAATTCAACCGGCTGGGATCTGGCACTCTACCGACCGTGGATTTTTCATTTAATAGCCAGCCGAGCGCTGGCATTCTACCGACTGACAACCGGATCGGATCCAAATGATAATTTCAACAAATATCAATAAAAAAATAATAATTAATTGCAAAAGATAAATACTGATGACAATTCATTGACAGTTCACTTTACACATTTTTTTTATTTTTTTATATACTTAAACGCAATTTTTTATTACATACACATTTGAAAAATCCTAACGCTTGGAGGTACGAACCTACGCCTAACCGAATATTTACGCACCGAAATCTCGCACGCTAACCACTATGCTACGCTCGCATGGGACTCTCAAATCTTAAATACTCTCAAGTGTCACAAGCTGAAATGAAACTTGTCGAATAACTACGCGTCAATGCTACAGCTATATTTTTATTATTATATAATATATTAAATAATTGTATCTCAATATAATAATATTGAACATAATAATATTAATAATTTTAATTAATATCACAATAATAATAAATTTATTATTATTGAGATATTATTAATTAACATTAATATTATTGAGAATTAATAATAAATTATTAACATGAATATTAATATTTATTAATATTTATTAATATTAATAATTTATTATTAATTCTCAATAATATTAATTAATAATATCTCAATAATAATAAATTTATATTAATAGTATAAATTTATTTATAATAATTATAAACTATAAGTGCACAACAAATTTTTTTAATTGTTTAATTTTGAAAAAACTCTTAATAAATAATTACTTAATATTTTGATTAAATTCATTTATTAATTAATCATTATTTTCTAAAATAATGCAATTAATTATTGTAATAATTATTTAGTTATGACACATTTATTAAAAATAAATTTATAATGTGATTTATAATGTGACAATAAATGACGACATCCGCAGTCGGATCCGGCCCAGCACCGAGCCAGTACAGACTTAACATATCCGTCATTCTTCCGACGCCGCAGAAGAATAAGATCCGCCGGCGGAAGAAATCCAGTACCGAGCCGGTACTGACAATAGTGGGAAGACGGATCCGACAGTCGGAGCATAATCTGTACCGCGCCGGTTGCTTTTTCAGATCCGAATCGGTACAGACCGTCGGTACTTGCGGTCTGTACGGGCGCGGATCCCAGCCGGTTGTAAATTCCGACATTCGTCCGACTTTTCCGCCTGGGGGCCTCTGCACATTACGGCGTCTTGCCGGCAGTACGGCAAGCGTCCTTCAGAAAGGACGAAATTTATTTTTGTAAAGAAATATTTAAATTTTATAGAATATTATAATATATTATTTTATACATAATTTATTAAATTTATTAACAAATATTGTTATTATATGTTATTTTGAGCTTAAACAAGAAATTCACTTAGAGATTTTGAAAAAAATCACCATTTTTAATGCTATACAAATATTTGAATAACTTACAATATAGTAAACGTTTTCTAATACTTCTCTTATTATTTTAAAGGTCATTTTCAAAAGTATGAGAATTACTTCAGGTATTAACGTGTATTATTTGCTTAAAAAATTGTAACCAAAGCAAAGGTAGGATACCCAAATTAGAAAAAAATAATAAAAAATAGCACAGAATTTCAAAAAAAATTTGAACTAAGAAAATAAAAACAATCCTCCAAAATTTACACGTCGTTTCAACAAGAAAAAATAAATCACCTACACTGAGATAAGACAAAAAGTCAAAAATTCGAAAAAACTTTTTAAAAAAATTAAGTTTTTCAAAAGTTATCGTCGGAACAAAGTTTTTGTCTACGGACTTTTTGTCTACAGGCTTCAAGACAGACGTAATCGCCGGACCATGTTTTTTGAATTCAGGGAACCTCAAAACGCAAAGATTTCATACAATTAGCAAAAGTCAGTTTTCCACCAAATCTAATATCTTCTTATGTGATGAGAATGTAAAAAACCATTTCCAACAACATACGACCAAAAATTGAAATGTAAAAAGGGTCAGACCAGCCCAACTGTGTTAATTTCATGAGATTTCATAAAATTAGCGAAAATCAATTTTCGACCAAAACTAATACTTTCTCATGTGATAAGAATGTAAAAATATTTTGATTTAAAAATAAAATTTTTTGGTTCTAGATAAACCGTTTGGCTATACCTGACCCAAAAACTTAAAAAATAAAACTGGCCCAAAAACTTAAAAAAAAAAAAATTCATAACTTTTTTGTTTTTTGATGTACAAAAAAGTATCTAAAGGAAAAGTTATTTGTTTTTGCACAAATTTTAAGGAAAAAATTAGAAAAAAATATTTTTTTAAAAATTGTAAAAAATACAAAATTTTAAAAATTTAAAAGTTTTGTATTTTTGTCGTTATTTGACGAAATGAGCTGTCCAACGAACTCAGGCTTCATTTTAATAGACTGAAAAATCACCCCAAATTGCAAGTCGATTTATTAAAATTTATTCGAGTTATCGTCGAGACAAAATTTTCTACAGACAGAGAGACAGACAGATCGACAGACAGACACTTCTCTGAAAACATTTTTTTAGAATCAGGGGGTCATAAAACGTGAAGATTTATCAAAATTAGAAATTTCTCAAAATCGCACAAATCCAAGACTTTCTCATTTTTGATGAGAATATAATATATAAAAATTATATATAAATAAAAATGTAACTTCTTTAAAAATTAATTTTTAAATATTTGCATAATATGTGAGCATTTTTTAATACTTTTTATTTATTTTTAATTAATAATTAATAACAATTAATAATAATAATAATAATAATAATAATGAATAATAATTAATAATAATTTATAATTAATTTATAAAAATAAAGTCCGTTTTCGATGAAGCGTCCTATTCGACCTTGGATACGTGGCGCGATGTGATTGTTTTGCTTGAATGATGGTTTGCTTTTCGATCGTGCAGACCTTTTTAAAATCTCTAATATCTTTGAAACCTCTTAATATTTTTTAAGCTACTTGGTCTACTTTTAAATAGGAGATTTCAAGTTTTATTATATGTGAATTTGAATTTTTTTCTAACCTCGTTTAGAGCAATCCTGAACTTGAAGTTGGGTGATGGAATTTCCAAAAATCAGAAAATTAGACGCTATTTCTCACACTCTAACTCCTAGTTTTGAACTTTAGCTCATTTTACGCGAAATTCTATAAGCTTTCTAATGGTTATTTTAAAAATGTTTTAGACTTACTTTTAAGTGAAATATAATAGAAAAATGAGAGGCATGCTTTTAATACGAATTTTGTAAGTGGACTGACAATTCTGGCCTGTACTGTCATTATTAAATAATAATTTATTTTTTATTAGTTTATTAATTTTTTTATTCCCTAAATATTCTTTAATAACTAAATCTATTGTTGATTAATTATAAAATTTTAATATAATTAATTAATGTTATTATTATAATTATTAATTATTCTCTTTCTGTTTTTCGAGAAAGAGACAAAAATATTTCTCTCTTTCTGTTTTTCGAGAAAGAAACAAAAAAATATTAGAAAATGGAAATTTTGAATATTAATTCAAGTGCGGCTGTTTTTTCAGACTCTATTAGATACACTTTCACTTTAGATTTTTGCATTAATTATATCAGGGGTCACACGACAATTTGGCGACACTGGTCGCGCACTTGTACGCAATTCAATTTAAAACGTGCTTTAAAAAGTTACTCTATATTGTATGAAAGGGTCCGAAAGGAACGAAAAAACCTTTCTCACAAGGGTTGTTTTTGTTTTCAATTTTGTTTCCAAAAAAATTGTTAATTTTCAAAATTACGACTCAAACAACAAATAAGCAGAGATCTATAAGCAAAGATTCATAAGTATATTAGAGTTCTATAATTTATTCATAACTTATCATACCTGATCAATCGTACATTGCGTATCATAATCAATTTTAGAATTGTCATCATTTTGATTCTGTAAAAGAAAAAAAAACTAGGGTTTCAATTGAACCGGACGAAACAATTTATATAGTGTTTTAAAATCACCAAGCGATTCAATTTAGTATTTTATAAGCCTTCTCACACGAGGAAGATCCGTAACTTTTTCTTCCTCTCGCACAGGAACTTTTATAAATCAGATGCGGTATGAAGTTTGATTTTTATATATTCATTGAGATAATTCGGAAGTGGGGTCAATTAAATTCTAACTAAATAAATGCCGAATAAAACTTTCAAAGTCTGACGCTTTTGTTATAATTTGAAACGAGAATTTAAAAATTGTTTTTTCTATACTTTCTAAATTTCATTCAGTTAAAAATTATAGATTCAACTGACAATCAGTGGCTGACTTTCTGCTTCTAAATTTAGACAGTGTTATTTTTTCTATTGTATTATTTTTTACACTGAAAAAAATTGATTTGTTTCAAATAAAGAATTAGTTGTCTATATTATCAAATAAATATTTACTTGAAACAAATAATTTTTTTTTGAATTAATTAAATGATATTTGCTTCAAATATTGAACTTATTGGTTCAAATATACAATTAAATTGGTTTATAAGGGGACATTCCAGTTTAAAATATAAAAAAATCGATTTTTTATTTTCGGATTTCTTATAGTGTCAAGAATACTCTCCTAAAATTTTATTGCAAAATTCGAAGTAAAACAAAAGTTATACATACTAATAACTTATTCTTCGCCATGTCAAAGATGTTTTTATATGCGGATAAGCAGAATCCAATCAAATGATTCAAATGTTTCTTATTTGCATTTTGTAAAAAAGACAAACAAAAATGTATTTGGTATTGCTGATCACAAATTAGATATCAAAATTTCAAAATTCAAAATGGCAGAAGAGAAAATTAAAAATCAAGTGGATTTGCTTGAAAATCGTTGCTCGGGAGTTTTTAGGGTCGCTGATTACGAATATGATATCAGATTTTTAAAATTCAAAATGGCGGATCCAATATGGCGACCAATATTTTTAAAAAATCATCGGATTTGCTTAAAAATCGTTACTCGAGGGTTTTCGGGGTTATTGTTTACGAATCTGACATCAGTTTTTAAAAATTCAAAATGTTGGATTCAATATGGCGGGTAATTTTTTAAAATTAATCAATTTTGAATTTAAAAAATCTAATATCATATTCGTAATCTACGACCCCAAATACCCCAAAGTAACGATTTTCAAGCAAATCCGATGATTTAAAAAAAAATTGTCCGCCATATTGGATCTGCCATTTGGAATTTTAAAAATCTGATACGATATTCGTAATTAGCGACCCTAAAAACCCTCGAGTAATGATTTTCAAGCAAATCCAATGATTTTTTTTTAAATTGTCCAAACTTATCAATCAAAACTTTAAGTGCGTTTATCTCAAAATTGCTTTTTTTGATCTGGTAAGAGTGATATCTGAGTTCTTATAAAGTGATTTTGAAAAATCAAAGGGCATTTTATTTATTGTCATCTTGTCTATAAGTGGAACCTCAAAAACTGGAAAATTTCCAACTCCCTTTTTATTTATAGGAGAAATTCTGAATAAAAACATGTGTTTTTTTCCCTTTTTTGAGGTTCCACACCTAAAGAAATATCTAACGAAGAGAATGTCACTTCGTTTTTGGTTTTATTCGTTTTAGAAAGTTTGGAATCGATCTTACCATAAGAAATGGACTTTTTTGAAAATAGCGTATATCGCCGCCATTTTGAAGTAAAAATGAACAAAATTTTTTTGTGCATATTCTTAAATAAATTATTTGTCACATGTAAAAGGAATTTCATAAATAAATGTTATAGTTATTTTAAATATATATATTAAAAAGGTCTTGTTTTTTCCTGTTTTGAAGTGTAATGTCCCCTTTAATAAAAATTATTAGAGATGCAAGTAAATATTTATTTGCTAATAAATAAGGAATCGGTTATTTGCATAAAATAAAATTTTTTTCAGTGTACAAAATTATTATTTTCAATTTCTAGTTTTTAATTATATATTTGAGGGATTCTTTCTCAAGTGGGCCACCCCCCCAGTAAGAAGCGAGGAATTGAAAAGGATTGAAATAATTCAAACTCTGTATGGTGTAGTAGAAATTATCCAATACTTTTGAATGCCATTTCTGTCCAATACTTTTCTATACCATGATATAGGACCACGTTTCGTCTAAAAATGAATGCAATTCAATTCTGTTTGTAATTGTTAACAAAGACAAAATTTTTTTCTGAATGCTTTCCAATCCCATCCGAAATTATTACAGCCTGTCATTACATCACTTTTCAATTTTTCATTGGAACCGCGTTTCTATGCATGCATTCAAGCGCAATCTTCTGGATTTTTGTAATTTATAAGATACATATACATTGGCAGATTTTGTAAAAAATGTTTGTGTTCAAAGAAAAACTTGCTGAAAAATTGATTGTTTACCAATTTTACGTCATTTAAACGAGTCAGGGCCGTTATTCTGTTAGACAATAAATCATAACCTAAAAATTTCAGAGACTTTTAAACACTTTTAACCCTCTTAACTGATAATAATTTAATAATTATTCCTTTCTAAAATAGCAAATAAAGTCATGAGTGCAGTTATTTGAAAGTAATTGAAATTGAAAACTTTTTGAAGTTGAATTGAAATTGTAAACTTTTCAACTACTGTCGCGGAATTCAGAAGCATAGGACAGAAATGGTATTCAAAAGGATAGAATTTTTTTAATGCTTCTTAATCTTTGCTTTCTTACTAGGTATTCAAGAAGATTGATATCGTTACTTTTCATATTGCTCTCACTGGATAGAAAAGTATTGGACAGAAATGGCATTCAAAAGAATAGAATCTTTTTAATACTTTTCAATTTTTCGTTTCTTACTGGGCCTTCTCTCCATTTCAAATTTAATTCAAAAATCTTTTATAATAGCTCAAATTAAAGGTAAAAATGTCAATGCCGTTGGTCAATGCCGTTGGTCCCTTTTTGAAATATTAATTTTCAAATAAACTATAGAGAATTTAATGACAAAAAACACTATGACCAATTCTTTTTCATGTTAAAAAACGAAGAAAAACCCAATTTTAAAAATTCTACAGGGATCTACAATATTAAAGTATATGAGAAATTTGCAAAATTTCATATTATTTCCTAAAATTAAAGATGGCGAATCCAATATGGCGCCCAAAATTTAAAAAATTTATAATTTTTGTTCAAACTTACCATAAAGGGGTTTTTGGGATCGCTGATGACGAATTTGGTGTAAGTTTTTCAAAATTCAAAATGGCGAATCCAAAATGTCGGACTTAAAAATTAAAAATCAATCGGATTTGCCTAAAATTTGTTAATTGGGGGTTTTTGAGATCGCTGATTACGAATTTGATGTCAGATTCTCAAAATTCAAAATGGCGAATTCAAAATGTCGGACTCAGAAATTAAAAATTAAACGGCTTTATTGAAAATTTGTCATTCCGGGGTTTTTAGGGTGTTTAATTACGAATTTTATGTTTATGATTAGGAATTTGATGACAGCTTTTCAGAATTCAATATAATAGATCTAATATAGTTAACGTAATATAAAAAATTAATCAGATTTGCTAAAAGTTCGTTACTGTGATATTTTTGGGATCGACGATTCTATATTGAGTATTAGAAATTCGAAATTTTGAATCCAATTACGCTGACAAAATTGATTGCCAGCTATGTGATTGCTGCTGATTTTTATGTTTTGTATAGAAATTATTATGAATAAAGCGATACTCAAATGACCCTAAAGAACTTAAATTTTTAAATAAATATAATTTGTCCAATTTGTATTTAATTCTGAAAAGCTGACATCAAATTCCTAATCAAAGACCCCAAATCCCACGAGTAACACATTTTAAGTGCATCCGATTAGTTCCTAATATTTTTATGTCCGCCGTATTGGATCCGCTATTTTGAGTTTTGATTATTTGTCTATGATTACGAATTTTATGTCAGCTTTTCAGAATTCAATATAAATTGAAAAAATTATCTTATTTTTTTAAATCTAAGTTCTTTAGGGTCATTTGAGCATAGCTTTATTAATAATAATTCCTTTACCAAACATAAAAAACTTGAGAAACAGCAGCAATCACATAGGAAACATCGCAAAAGGTAGATTCATATAGAAAGCACTCCAAATGACAAAGGCTAGGAGAACTCACATAAAGAATCCAATTGTTTAAAAAAATCTGTCAGCGTTATTGGATTGAAAATTTTGAATTTCTAACACTCAATATAGAATCGTCGATCCCAAAAATATCACAGTAACGAACTTTTAGCAAATCTGATTAACTTTTTATATTACGTTAACTATATTAGATCTATTATATTAAATTCTGAAAAGCTGTCATCGAATTCCTAATCATATAGACATCAAATTCGTTATCAGAGAACTCAAAAAACCCCAAATAACAAATTTTAGGCAAAGCCGATTGATTTTTAATTTTTAAATCCGCCATTTTGAATTCGACATTTTGAATTTTGAAACAAACACCAAATTCGTCAACAGCGATCCTAAAAACCCCTTTATGGTAAGTTTGAACAAAAATTATAAATTTTTTAAATTTTGGGCGCCATATTGGATTCGCCATCTTTAATTTTAGGAAGTAATATGAAATTTTGCAAATTTCTCATATACTTTAATGTTGTAAACCCTGTAGAATTTTTTAAATTGGGGTTTTCTTCGTTTTTTAACATAAAAAAGAATTGGTCATAGTGTTTTTTGTCATTAAATTCTCTATAGTTTATTTGAAAATTAATATTTCAAAAAGGGCCCAACGGCATTGAAAAGCTGACATTTTTACCTTTAATTTGAGCTATTATAAAAGATTTTTTGATTAAATTTGAAATGGAGAGAAGGAGTGGTCCACTTGAGAAAGAATGCCTCTTATATATTATTTATAATCCTTTAGATTGCAAACTTACTTAAAATTATTACACTAATAATTCTACTTCTCCCTTTTTCATTAAAGGAATGAATAATTTCTCTGCGAATTTCTGTTTTAGAAATTAAATCCCTAGAGTATTTTCAAATTAAGGACGATTAAAATTTATTTTAAAAAAATATTTTGATTGAAGTAAATAATAAAGAAGAAAATGAAGAAACAAAATTACTGAAGAAGATGATCTTTTTAGTGTTAATTTTTTAACTTTTAATTATTAATATTCATTTATTCACTGTATTGGAATTCACTCTGAAAAACTAAAATTGTGGCATTACCAACGATGTGTTACATATTCGAAAGGAAGTAACAAACAGGAAACATGAAATCGTAATTTCTCGTGTATACCTTTAAATCAGCCAAGCCTAAATTGTTTTGAAATTTATTTTGCACTCTCAATTGAATATTTTCCAAGAGCATTTATTTATAACAAAACATATTTTTTACTTTAATAAATAAATAAACAAAATTTAAGTTCAATTTAAATTTAAATTTGTGTTTAAATTTCAAATTAAATTTATGTTTTAATTTAAAATTAAAAATTATAATTTGATATTCTTTAAGAAGATGAACGATGCGCCGACATAGAAGTTAATTAATTAATGAGTTACACTCGGGTTTCAATTGATATGTCCTTTAGGTTCAAACACTTTTCATCCACTCTCCTTTTTCAAGTATTTTTATTTTATTTTATTTCCCATCATAGTCTATAGAAAATTCCTAAAATAGCAAATTTATATTCACGATTTCTCCAATAAGAAACAAAAAAAAAAATTAGCCACTCTTCCCAAAAACTGAATTAAAATCATTCTGTTTATGAATAAAATAAACTTTTGGAACTGTATAAAAACTGCATTGTTTTTGTTGGATTATTTAAAAATCTGTTAAAAAAATCCATTGAAAAAATATATACTGAAAAAAATCTATAAAAAAAAACTCTTTAGAAAAAACGAATTCTATTGGAATGCAAAAACTATAAACATTTTTAATACGATTAATGTATAACTTTAACATTTACAATTCGTGCCTAATAAGGATACGTCAATTTAAATGGTAATTCTAGGGAGTAAAATATCCAATAAAAAAAGGAAAAGATTAAAAATATCCAGAAAAATAGTAATAAAAATTGGTGAAGAAATAAAATGTAAAATTTCCCACCTGATTTATATTTAATTCCAAAAAACATTCTTCTTCAATATTTTTTTCCGTATTTTTTAAGTTTGATTCATTTAATCGAACTGCTTCCACTGTTGTCAATATTATCAAAATTAAACATGTTTGATCTAACATAATATCTATTACCAAATATCAAATCCACTCTATCGTTTCCAAACGGACTGAAACTGATATTTTGACGCTCAAAAACTATTTCATTCTTCACTTTTTCGGCACAAATTTTTACAAAAAATATCTTTTTAAAAAAATCATTCGTCAAGAAAAATTTTTTTTAAAACAAAAACCATTTGTCAGAAGCACTTTTTTCGATTTTCTCGAAAAAAAATTGCGGAACAGAAACACGGACTGTGATGCTACTGTGAACAAAAAGAGACTGACGCGAGAATCAACATACTCCCTCGAACCATTATCCTTATCTCTTCTTTTGCTCTTGAAACTAAGTAACTAATCAGTGGTCAATAATTGATCATCCTAATCATTCACAGGTATTAACTATTTTTTTTGTATATTCTTGAAAAAAATTCATCTCAATATTCTCAATTTAATTAAAAATTGTATTTTTTATTTAAAAATAAACTTTGCAATTTTTTTACTACTAAATTTACTACTGCTACTACTACTACCAAATTGTGTTTTAACCAAAAAATAGAATCTTTAATTTCAAAATTTCTAATTTCAACTTTTAAGCAATTTAAAAGAAAATCATTAAAGAAGAAAAGTTTCAAATAAAGAGAAAAAGTGCATTTTTTATTTACTGTATTTATTATTAACTCGAGAATTTTTCTTCTATCCATAAAAAACAATTTTTCTTCGTTTGAATATTTCATTCTACAAAAATGTAATTTTTAGAATCTATTCACGAGACTATGTACGAACTTTAAACTTCATTTTCTTTCCAAGAACTTATTTAATTTTTACAAAATAATATTGTAAAATAATTTAAATAAAAAAGTTTGATTACAAACTTTTATGCTACTTGTTGGCGTGTATAAATGTATAATTCATGTAGATACAATCTACATTTGTGTATGACTGGTTGCATAATTTTAGGTACACTGTAAAAAAAGGGAGTTGAATTTTAACTCCCCCGGGGGTCTATAAAAGTCGCACCCATTGGGGAGTTAATGCCAGGGGAGTTAAATAAAGAGAGTTAAAACTTCACACCCAAATGCTAACTCCCCAAGGAAAAAATAACTCGCGCGGGTGTTGAATGAAGGAAGTTAGAAATTAACTCTCTTTTGGAGTTGATTTTTAACTCGAAAAATTTCACTCCCAACTCCCGAGTTCGTTAACTCCCTAAATTTTTTACAGTGTAATACTTGTTTTTAAACTGTTAAATTAAATATTTCAATTAAAATATTAAAAACAAAATATCTATAAATTTAAATATTTAACTTCGATATTATAAACAATAACGCGGCGAATTAAATTTATTGTAAACATTATAGTAAATTAGTATTTTGTAAAACTGGGCATAACTCGTTCTTGTTCATTCATATTTATTTATTTATTTACAACATAAGATCCCGCGATCCAAAATAAATCATAAATGGGTAACGAGAAGTTGAAAAAATATTTATATTTAATATTTTGTTTATTTAAATTTATATTTAACACTAGCTGTCGGACCCGTCTTCGACGGGTTTTAATTTCTACTAATACATTTAAAAAGGTGTCAACAAACCAGGAAATAGACGGGAATTTAATTTTAATGGTAAAAACTAATAATTATAGTTACCATTAACTATTTCGTTAGGGAAATATGATTATTTCAATCAATGACAGTTGTTATCAGTTATTCAGGAACAGTATTTGTCAATTTGTAGTATTTTATGCGTTTGTAGTATTGCAATTAATGTATTAAAAATAAATCCTAAATTTCAATCAGTTTTTGGAGTATAATTCGAAATAATTGTGTCACAATTAGACCCTACGTTATGACGGCTAAAACTTAAATAAAACCTATATGTTTAGGCTTAAATTTTGACTCGGGTCTGTTGTCATAAATACTACATTAATAAAAATTAAAGTATATAAAGCAATTTTTAAAAACAAATTATAATATAATAAAACTTTTTTAACTTGGTAAGAAAATGCCCGGGTTTTCCCGGTCAAATTAAATTCCCGGCTATTTCTCAGTTTCCCCGCACAATTTGTAGACACTATGAAGGAGTTTACACCGTCAGCCTTAAATATAAGCCTCCGCGAGAATAAACGGATATGCCTCCATGAGCATATACTTGCGTCTGCGCAAAGTGTTTGCCTGCAGCTGTGTTGTGAAAAGGCCTAAGCACAATAGATTCGCGAAAGTCGTTCGCGAACGCAAAGCATGAGTTAGAAAAGGACAGAGATATATTTGTGTCCTTGTCTATCTCATGCGTCTCGTTCGCGAACGACTTTCGCGAACCTATTGTGCGTTGGACTAAAGAGTTTGCCTTGACCACGTGTTCGCGCAGGCGCAAATATATGCTCCTGGAGGTATATCCGTTTATGCGCGCGGAGGCTTATAATATTTAAGGCTTACGGTGTAAACTCCTTCTATGTCAAATGTATTATAGTATAGAAACTAAAACCCATCAGAGACTGTTACTGATACTGACCTTTGCAGATTTATTTATGGTTAAAATCAAGTAAATTTAAATTTGATTAAAATAAATAAACCGTGTAAACTTTGGATAAAGCCGGAAATTTTGTTAAACGAACATAGACACCCTGCTTAACTTTTGTCATTATATTTCTCAAAACATCTTTAAAAATTAAATCTTTAAGTAAAATAACAAAACTTTTTACCACTTAAGTTTTTACCCAGTAGCATAATGATAGTATCGTATCACAGGTGACTTACAATTCTTGACATCCTGCGATATCATTTTTATCATTATAGGCTTCGTCCATAAATTGCGTCACACGTTTTTAGCCCATTTTTTACCCCCTTCCCCCCTTTGTCACACTACGAAACATCTGAAGGAACCCCCTCCCTCTAAATTACGTCACAATTCGTAAACCCCCCTTTAATAAATTTTTTCAAAATGAATCACTGTCAATATCTAATTTTACATAAATAAAGTGGATTACTTCCGAATACGGGGAATTGATGTTCATGGTGAAAACCATAAAAATCCATAAAATTCTGGTTTTTTGTGTATAATTCGTTGGATTGGATTAATCATAATTTTTTGTGTTTAAAAATATTTGTAAATTTTTCTCTGCTTTTATATGGAGGAGAAAGGAGTCGTTCACCTTGGGTTGGAAATTTTTTTTTATCAAAATTTAATTGATTTCCTCCTCCATAACTATTTGTGTTTAAAAATATTTGTAAATTTTTTTTCTGCTTTTATTTCGAGAAGGAAGGAGGCTTGGATTTTTCAGAATATAAAAGCAGAGAAAAATTTACAAATATTTTTAAACACAAAAAATTATGATTAATCCAATCCAACGAGTTAAACGTAAAAAACCACAATTTTATGATGTTTCTTTATGGTTTTCACTATGAAGATGACCTAGTCGACAATTTTTACTATGATTTTCGTGATCAGGGCACAAAATTACGTAAGTAATCCAACTTTCATTAATATCGGAGGTATGCGCTTTTGCTTTTCGGAAGTATATCCTTCGTTTTTTACGAATTATACGCAAAAAACCACAATTTTATGGTTTTTTTATGATTTTCAACATGAACATCAAATTTGCGCCAATTTTCATTATCATTTTCGTAATCAGCGCATCAAAATACGTTGGCATACCAAGTTTTATTAAAATCGCAGGTCCCCCTTATTCGGAAGTACACCCAATAAAGTTACTTATATAATTAGTAGGTGCATTTTTTAATATTTTAAAAACAATAAATATATTTGATATTTTTATTTATTACAATTTTCTCATTATAATAAATAGAGTATAAAGTGTGACATAACAAAATAAAAAGTCCCCACCCTCCCTTTGTCACAATTAGTCACATTTTCATGGTCCCCCCTAAAAAGTGTGACGTAATTTATGGACGAAGCCATAGTGGTTAGTGTATTCGATTTCGGTGCGTTATAATGTTAGATAGGTGTAGGTTCGAATCTCCATGCGTTAGAAATTTTAAATTAATGTAAATAAAATTGCGATAGGTAAATCGAAAAATATGTTAAATGTACCCAGTAAAAAAAAGTATTCAAAATAGAGAAAAAGTATTGGTGGAGACGTTCGATGAATGCGTTTTCGCGACAAAACCGTATTGGTGGGTTACGGTGAATACATTTTGCTTACCGTGAATACTTTTTTTTTAAACTTTCGATTTAAAGATTCCTAGGCAAAGTTGAGAATATTTATAAAGAGCGTAACCCAGTAAAAAAAAACTAATTCAAATGAATTGAAACGAATTAACATTTTTGGTAGGCTCCAACCCAATGGGAAATTTACAACTGGCGTAGTACTGCGCCAGCACTGGCAGCACTGGCGGCAAGGCTGAGAGCCAGCACTGGCATGGCACTGGGATGATAACGCCGTCCGGCGCTGCCGAAGTACTGTCTGTAAGTGCTGCCAGACAGCGCTGGCGCAGCACTGGACCAGTGCTGGCTGAGAATATTGCCGCAATAAATGCCGTACTGTTATTAATTAGTTGTAAATTAATAATTATAAATAATTTAACAACAAAATGGTAAATAATATTAATAAATAGTTATTATTCATAAAATAAATCTCTTCCTAAAGAAATTGTATTAAAGATGGAGACTAACAATGGATATAGTAAATGAAGTAGAAAAAAATTGTTTATAACATTTAAAAATTAAATAATAAACAATTACAGTAAGTGTGCATTAGATTTTCATATTTTAGTACCTAACGATTGGAATCTAGAAATATCGCAAACCTATGAAAATAAACAAAATTGCTGACGAGGGGAATCGAACCTACGACCTACGGACTAACAGACTAACGCTCTAACCACTATGCTAACGACACATGTGTACAGTAAAGTATTAATATCTCAGTATCATTCAGACATACAATTATTGAGTCAAAGATGAGAAAAAAATAGGGATACGTTAGAAATAATAAATTGAAATAAAATAAATTAAACTAAATTTTTAATAATTAAATTAAATTACTTTACTTATTGCATTTAACATTTTACGTATTTCTTAAATTACGTGGTAATTTTTTAATAATTTTTTATTTATAGTAAGAAGTATAATTATAGTATTTTAATATTTATGTCAAAAAAGCAATGTTGGCAAAGAGCGTTGTGAATAATTTTTCTATACTCAGCCAGCACTTGCCACCGTGGCTTGTCCAAGCTTTGGCGAAACAAAAATTCTGTACTGCGCCAGCACTAATTGTCGAGGCTCGGCTAGACTACGCCGAA